TATATTTTCTTAATATCTTATATATTTTTAATATCTTATATGTTTTCATTTTTTTATATATTCTAATTATCTTATTTATTTTTTTCATTATTCAATATATCTTTATTACTAATCAAATCTTCTTCTTTAGGCTTTTATTTATTATTTGAAAATATTTCCATATTATCTTAAAATAACTATTATGACTTATTTTAAACCTAAGAATTTTCTTTCTAAAGTTATTCTTTTTTTTGTATAGAACAACAAGGTGGTTTTTCATAAAAATAGATATTATCTTAAAAAATAGTAACTTTATTATTATTATTTTAATTATTTTTTAAAGTACTAAACTAATTTTTATTTAATTATTTTTAAAACTACATTTCATTTTTTTTAATTTGCTATAAAATTTAAACAGAATTTTCATAAATTTTTTCATTAACTTTTTAATAAAAATCAATATCTTTTTTTTCCACCTTACCTTTATCTTCTTCTTCTTTTTAAAAAAATAATTTTTTATTTACTTTTTGTCTTTTAAATTTCTTTTTCTTTCACAAGTAGAATTAGCTCTTTTTTCTTCTTTTTTTTCACTAAGATTTACTTTTTTATAACATTAACTACTATTTTCACGATTATTATTATTATTAATCTTAAAAGGAGAACCGATATCAACCTGAAATTCATCATCTAGTATTATTTTCTAACATGAAAAAGGCAAAATACTAAATTCTAAGTCTTTTTTTCCAATAATGCCGTCCTTATCAATATCACATCTTCTCAAAATATTCAAAATATCATCACTAGTGCAAACTCCATTAGCACTATCTATAAAAGCCTTAATTTCTTAATGCTTAATGAATTATTTTTTGCCCAAAATGACCTTAAAAATTTCAGAAATTTTAAAATCCGACATTTAAAAAGTTCTTACTTTAATACTTCTAGCATTCTATAAAATTTAAGCTCTTTTTCAAAACGCTTATTAAGGCATATTCTAATTAGGAAGTATTTTATGTAAATTTTATACGATGTGGGATCATTTCGACTTTTAATTATCCTAAAAAATGGCTATTATTAGGTAGTATAAACTAAAGAAAACTATAATAGGTATAAATAACATATATGTATTAATATTATATATATAATAAAATAACTTTGTATAAGACATTTTAGATTTCGATAGATTATATGTAATAAAAATCAATGGGATTTCTTAAGGAAAAAATCTAATTTAATAATTTTTAAGAAACATAATAATATCTTTTATATTAAAGTATAATTTATCTTAAGATATTATATTAAATATTTAAAAAGGGTCAAAATCTATCTATTCAGTTAATATTTATCGAACTACTTCTACTTAACGCTCCTATTCGGCTATTTTTATAAATAAATTGCAAATTTTATATTTAATTTCTTATGTTAACATTTTTTATTTTTTTTATATTTTTAAAAATATTTTTTATTTTTTGTTTGTTTGTTACACAAATATATTTAATTTTATTATCATTAATTAATTATAATTAAATAACAAATAAAACTAATAAACAAAATATACACGGTAAAACTTTTTATCATTCAATTTAAAAAAAAAAAAATAATACTATTTCTCTCACTCTCTCTTCTGGGAGTAGTTATGGCTTAACAAAAAATTAATACACATCTTTAAAAAAGTATATATTACCAAAAATATATAATTAGTGGCAAAAAATGAAAGGTATACTTAATCGGTAAAATCCTTATTAAAAAAAATAAAAAGACATTCCTATATACTATACCATCTTAAAGAATAATTACCTGTGGTGGATAAAATGAATGTATTTAGATCTAATAGACCGGTTCCTAGGAAATAATACTAAATTGTAGTAAGGGGAAATAGAAAATAATCTATAAAACTAAAAAAACAAGAAAAAATAAAAAAACAAAACCAAAAATAAATTAACCCTAATATTATAAAAATGAATAATGACTATAACTACATATACTAAATAGAAAAATTATAAATATGTATCTATATTTATAAATAAGAGATAAGTCAAAAAAAAAAAATGAGAAATAAATAATAAAACAAAACTTGATCTTAAAAATGATAAATAAACAATATTAAATAAACAAAAAAAAGGAAAAAAAAAATACAATAAATTTCTAAATTAAAAAAAATTATATCTATAATATGTATTCATTTATTAAAAAAAAGATATTAAAATCTTATATAAATAAATTAAATAAAAAATATAGATTAAATTATTAAATATTATAAAAAATTATTATTAAATATATAATAATAAATAAAATAGAAAATAAAAAAATAATTGTAATATATAAAAGCATAGATAAGAAATATAAAAATAAATATCATTATAAAATAATAAATAAATATAATAATAATAAAAATAATAATAATAATAATAATAATAATAATAATAATAATAAAAAATATTATTAATATAATAATAATAAAAATATTATTTATAATTATAATTTTTTATAATAATAATTAAAATAAAATAATTTAAATTTCTATTTAATTAAATAATTTTTTATATAATTATTTTTTCATTCTTATTATTCTTAATTAGTAATAATATTAATTGAACTTTTTCTATTATTAACAGAATGCCTTTTTTTTTTTGGTACTTTATTAATATCCTATAAAATAATATCTTTCTATCTGTATTTTTAAAGAAAAAGCTTGTTTGATTTCTAGGTTAATTTTAATAAATATATTCATGCACACATTAATGACTACATTATTCTAAGTTATGATTTCTACTACATACATGTTATTAAGGACTTAAAAAATGTTTTTTCTAATCTATATCATCTTTTCTAGTTGTTCTTTATGCTTAAATTTTAGATTTTGTTGATTTTCCTATAGAATTACATGTAGGGAAGTCATCGTCTATATATATATATATATATAATCATAAATATGTATATATTATAAATTTACCTTATTTTTATAAACTTCTATTTAAACTTTTCCTTTCTTTTTCAAGATCATTTTCTTAAGTTTATATACTTATTTTAGTTTAACTATGTGCTTTTTCTGGAAATTATTATGGATTAATATCTAGTCTCTTTTTTTTTTCAGGATAAAAGGTATATTTTTAATGTCTTTTTATTTATTCTTCTTATAGTTGCATAGTTTCATAATTTTTTAAAAAATTTTATTAAAATTCATCATTAATATTAATATTATTATTATTTGAAGAATATTCAGTTTTTAAAAAAGAATTTTAGTATTTATTACTTTTTCTAATTAGTTGATAAATAGACTAATTTTGTTATTTTTAATAACTTTTCAAAAAATCTTAATTTCGGTTATTCCTTTGTGTCAAATATTGCATTAAATCAACATTTTTTTACTAAATCAAGCAAGAAGTACTTTTAGAATTATTCAAATTAAAAAATTATTCATTTTATAAAATATTCTTTTAATTTAAACTGTATTTTTAATTCAAAGTAATAATTATCTATAAAGCATTTATTAACATTTATTAATAATTACCTGAAATTAATTATTATTTAAAATATTATTCGCTAATAAATTTCTCTCTATATAAATTTAACTAAAATTTATCGCCTTATACAATTTAATAATATTAAGTAATTAAAGTTTCAATTTATAGATCTAATTAACCTTTTAAATGATTTTTTGCATGACTTTAAAAAGAACTCGAATTGCTGCTTTTATTACTGTTTGTGCTGTTTTAGGAATCTTCGCTTATATTTCTTTAAATCTACTTTTAAAGATTTTTAGGTAATTAATTTACTTCTTATAATTTTAACTTTTTTTTAGTAATGTTAATTGTTTTATTATTAAATATTTTTTTTACTTATAAATTTTTAACTTGATTTTGAATTGTTTAAATTTATGATTTCATCTCAAAATTTTCTTATATTTATATTTATTGTTAACTTTTCTAATAAATATATATATATATATATTAAGAAATATTTAAATTAAAATATAATGTACTTTATGAAATTCATTCTAGATTAAAGGTTCCTTTTTATTTTTTTATATTATAAACGAATTTTCATATATAATTGATACTTGTTTTAAGAATTTTGTTTATTATAATTATTATTCAGAAATCATTTTATTTATTGATTAATTTATTTATTTATTTATGAATTAAAATTTATTTATTTTAGAAAAAAATAATTATGATATAGCATTATTTAATTAATAATGTAAGTAAATAAATTTAATTTTTTAAGATTATATTTTTTTAAAAAAATAATGATATAAAAATAAGTATATATATATATATATATATATTATATATATATTTTTATTTATATATATAAATTTTTTTAATATATATAATTTAAATTTTAAAAAATTATATTAGTAAATTATAATATTTTAATTTTTAATTTTTTTATTTTCTTATTATTATATTTAATTTTATTAATAGAATATAATTTAATTTTATTAATTAATTATTTTTATTTAATAATTTTTTTTTTTTTTTATATTATTTTCATCTTTAATATTTTAACTATATATTTTATATAATTTTTTTTTTTTTTTTAAATAATTTTTTTTTTTTTTAAACTTTAATATAAAATTATTTATAATTTTTTTTAATTCTAATTTTTTTTTTTATTATTCAGTTAAAAATTAAATTTAATGTATCTTATTTTGAATTTTATATTTTTTAAAAATAAATAATATATTCATAATATTTTTTAAAAAAAAACAATTCCATGATAATATTTACAATATAATTTAAAATATTTCTCTTTCTTTTATTTTTACTCAAAATCTCCTTTCATTCCCTTTGTCCTTAAAACACTGTAACAAATCTAGATAAACTCGATGATAATGGCATCCCTGAAAACTGTACAAAATGTGCTCCTGGTTACTTCCCTTCTGAAATAAAAAAATGCACTCCATGTAAAGAAAACAAATGGTCTGACCCTGAGGATAATAATAAAATTTTAACACATAATCAAGGTTGTTATAAATGCGCAGATGGATATTATTCAAAAGATGAATTAAACTGTATATAATGTCCTATAGATACTATAGGTAAAGGTTCTCATAGACTATATAATTAAAATGCAATTTATTTTAAGGCTTGTATTCCTTGTCTTAGTGGTACTGGTATATAAGCAGGATCTCCAAGTAATTAAGTTTGTATGAAGAAAAATTATCCGTCTTTGATTTTTTTATATAAAATTTTATTACTATATATTATGTTATTTTTATGAGAAAACAAAAACGTCGTTTTTTTTTTTTTAATGGACATAAAATAATGTATCTTTTTTTGTTAAAAAATAAATAAAACATAAACTCGTTTGTAAAAAAAAAAAAAAAAAGCAAGTAAAAAATAAAAAAAATAATATGATAAAAATATAATACATAACACTTTTTTTTACTTTCTTTTTCTTAAATATAAATACAAGAAATCTCCAAAATAAAAACGAATGTACAGGTAATACATTAACCTACGCCGGTCTTAAAGACCACAACGGAAAGCCCGAAAACTGTACAGACTGTGAGCCTGGTTATTTTGCCGAAGTCGAAAATATATGTATGAAATGCCGAAGAGGTTATTGGTCTCGTGTAGCCCCTAAAGATTAAGAAAAAACATAATTAACAGGCTGTACTTTATGTGCTGATGGTTTTTATTCTTTCGATAATGAAACTTGTATTGAATGTCCGGCTAATCATATCGGATCTGGTCCAAATTAATATGGAGGAGTTGGCGCTCATATAAGAATTGCATGTAAAAGTTGCCCGGAAGGAATGGTGTCACCTCCAGCGACACCTAGTGTGGGTAAATGTGCTTTTTTGAATATTATTAAAATTTTTTTGGGAAGCTTTTTTTTTGGGATTTTTCTGTGATTTTTTTTGTTATTTTTGTATTGAATATATAAAAAATATGTTTGTTAAAAAAAAAAAAAAATTCTAAAAATAAATTTTATAATAAAGAAAATTGGTATTTTTAAAGAATATATATAAATAATCTTTTTTTTATTTTATTTTTTAGGAAATTAGAAAATAAATCATTTGATTTTTAGTTTTTAATTTACTTCATAATTTTCTTTTTTTTTAAAAAAAATAAAATAAATAAATAAAAAAATTAATATAATAATATTTACAGTTTTTCTAAAAATTTATTGCTTTTAATTATAAGTTATATAAGTCTTCTTTTATCCCAAAATCATTAAAAAATTCAAAATTACCATTTAGTTTTATTCCTTTTTAACTCAAAATCTAATTTTTATCTTTTAAACAATTAAAATAATCTTCATTTTTTCCAAATTCGAGCTAAAGTTTCTTCTAAAAATCAAAATATGGATGTTCCAAGCATTCTTAGCAATTAATTCGCTTTTCAGGACATTTTTAAAGCATATTTTATAAAAGATTTTTACAATATATATTTAATCCATCATATAACTAAGAATTCCAATTAATCTCACATTATTTATTTTTTGTCAATACATCATTAAATTTCTTCCCAGGAAATATACTTTCACCTGTTAATCTTATTATTATAAAATTTAAATAGAAATAAAATATATATTTATATATAAATATATATATATATATATATATATATATTACAGGATATGAAAAATAACTCCTATAGAAAAAACATCACAAATAATTGAATAACCTTTACTTTTATCAATTAAATTTGCAATTTCCGGTGCTACGAATCCTGGTGTTCCACATTTTGGAAAAATATAAGGAAATTCATCTGCAAAGCTAGCAAGTCCAAAATCTACAATTTTAACTGTGTTTTTACCTTCTTTTCTTTCCAAAAGTATATTTTCTGGTTTAATATCTCTATGCATTATATTAAATTATTATAAATAAGAAATTCCTTTTATTAATTTTTATAAAATATCTTTTATTTCATCTTCGTGGAAAGGTTTATTTTATTTCTTTTTTATTTCTTCATATAGAGAATTTCCATCAACTATTTCCATTACGAAATAAAATGTATTTTCGCCTTCGAAAACTTCAAATAATTTAATTACATTTTCATGTTCTTTTATTTTTCTCATTATTTTGAGTTCATTGTGTAAAGATAACTTTTTTAATTTAAATAAAAAAAAAAAAAAATCATATTTATACCATCCCTTTATCTATTTCCTATAATTTTTATTTTTGAAAGCATTTTACAGCAAATTTAACTCCAGAACTTTTCTAAACAGCGGAATATACTCGTGCGTAATTTCCTTTCCCGATCTAAGCCAGAATTTCATATTCATCTTAAAATTTAGCCTAGAAAATTTTCTAGCTTAAATTTTCTTTTAATTTTTAAATTATTTATATGTCTTCACCTGTATATTATAATATTTTGTTTCCATGATTAATTTAAAATCCGATTATTTTATAGTTTTTGTTTCTTTCGAATATCCAAAAAACTTTTAAATTAGGTTTTAATTCAATTATTTTATGAGGAATTTTTTAAAAAGGTTCCTTAAATTATATTTTTAAATATAAAATATAAATATTATATGTTCTACTTTACAAATAAGTAAAAATTCATTTAAAATGTAAATATATCTAATTTTATTAATTCCATTTTTTATATTAGAAACTCTTAATTACTATTAACATAAAGTATAGTCTATATTTCCATTAATCATATATTTACTAACATCAACATAACTAGGAAAAATAATTTAATTATTATCAGCTTCGATAGCTAAATATCCATTTAAATTATTTTTTTATATCTATATACTTATATATTTAAATATATATATATATATATAAATATATAAATATATATATATTTTTATTTTATTTTATTTATATATATTTACTTTTTCTTTTTTATATTATTTTTATTTTTTTATTCTTTATTATCAGAGTTTGTTACTTTTTAATTATTATTTGTTATTTTTATGTTTCCTATATGGCTTGCTTGATATGTATTTTTTTTTACTTAATTATTGTTTTCTTCTTTATTTGTTTTTTTTTATATAGTTGTGGTTAAAGGAGAAATTAATGTATTCAAATAATTTGGATTTATAAATGTTTGTGTATTTGATCTTTACGGATAATTAGTTAATTTGATATGATTATTTAATTTTATTTTATAAAGACTTTATTTAGTTTGAACTTTATTTTTTAATTTTTTAATTTTTTTTTATATAATATTTGCATACTTTAATGTAGAATTTAGATTAAAATTAATGGGATCTAATTATAAAGAATTTCTCATTTTATTTCTGAATTTAATTTTTTATAATAAAAAATAAAATAAATAATTTTTTTTTTTTTGTTATTATTTTAATTTTTTATTTTTATTAATAAAAATATTTATGTTTGCTTTTTTTTATTTATTTATTTATTTGCTAAAGTATTTAACCTATTATTATTAATATTTTATTGTTTTTTTTAATTGTAAATTAATTAATAAAATTTAATAAACATTAATTTTGTTTGTTTTTGTTTTTTAATAGTAAATTTTAATAGGTAATAATTACCAATAACATAATCATTTTAATTTTTTTAAATTAATATGTAATATTTTCCATTTTTTTTTTTTTTAAAAAAAAAAATAACTTATATATATTTATATATATAATTTTTTTTTCATTAATATATATTTAAATTTTATAAATTTTAAATTATTATATATTGAAATTATTAATTTCAAATTATGAATTTATTAAATACATTTTTTATACAAAAAAAAAAAAAAATTTAAAAATATAAATATATTTTTTTAAAAAAATCAAAAAACAAAAAACATAAATGTTATTTATTAGTTAAAATTTTAAAAAAAAAATTATCCAAAAAAAAAAAATGTTAAAAATCAATCACTTTTACAAACTCCATTAACAGTCCAATGAAATCCACTAGAACAAGCGGCACAATGATTATCAAATAAATCTCCTTCACTTTATCCAATTTTATAAGCACATACATTTTAATTTTTTTTTTATTCGCAATTTTTTATATTTGTAAATATAGTAGGATTACATATGTTTATTTTGTTTTTTTACTCTGGGAATTTTTCGCAAGTTTCATCTGAGAAAAATAAGTTTCTTTTATTTCTACAAATATTACATATAGAATCATATTTAAGGGAAAACCTCAAGCCATCAGAATCAAACATATCATCATCTTAATTTACGAATACACAATAGTTGTTTAATTCTTTTAATTCTTTTTATTCTTTTAATTCTCTAGGACTTCTAGCTTTAAGGCAAGTAATTAACCAACTTGTTTTACAAACATTAAGTCTGCAGAAGACTGTGGTAATAAAAAATGATAAAAATATTAGATTTTTATTCATTTTTAGTTATAAACGTTATTTGTAAATTTATTAATTAATATAATTATTTGATATATTATTATGGAATGTTTTTTTTTTTTTATATATATAATAGGTATAAAATTAATTTTCAATTTATTATTTAAAAAAAAAAAAACTTACAGGTTTTTAAAAGGCGATAATTATATAATTTTTTTTATGTTTTAAATAACTGATAAAATTATGGAATAATTTAAATTTTTTAATTAAAAAATGAAATATATAATATATTTAAATATTATTTTAATAAAATAAAATAATATATTAAAATATTATAATTTAAGAATTATTATTTTTTCTGTTTTTTATAATAATTAATTATTAGAAAATAATAAAAAAAGAAATCTTAAATATATATATAAAAATATTAATATTTATTCGATTATAATATTTTATATTAAATAACAGGAACAAAAATATAAATGAATTTGCATATTTATTTTTGACTAAATAACTTTAAAATAAATAAAGAAAAAGAAATTGAAAAATTAGAATATAAAATAAAAATTGATTAAATAAAAAAAATGTATAAAAAAATAATATTATATCAATAAAATAAATTTATAATTTTATTTAACAATTTTAAAAAATATATATTATGTAATTTTTTTTATTATATAGAATATAAATAAAAATTAAAATATTTAATTTATAAAATAAAATAGTCTATTTTTCTATAATAAATATAATATAAAAATAAAAAAAATAATAATAATAATAATAAATATATAATAATAATAATAAATATATAATAATAATAATTGAATTAATAATAATAATTTTAACAATAATAACAATTATACTAATAATAATATCGAATATAATTTTTATATTTAATAAGGTATTTTTATTTAAAATACTAATTTTTTTTATTTTTTTTAAAATTTTAATATTATAAATATTATTTTAAATATATTTATTTATATATTTAGTTTATTTAATTATTTTTTACATATTATTTATTATTTATCATTTATTTTACTAGTATTTAATAAATTATATATTTTTTTTTGATTGTTTTTTATTCTTATTTTTAAATATATATATTTAAGTTTTTTTATAATATTTATGTTATATTACTTTTACAAAAAACTGAAATAAATTATATATTATTATTTATTATTTTAATATAAGATATTTATTTTTAGATCTTTATTATATATATATTATTACTTTTTTAATTATTTAATTTATTTATTTATTTAACTTTTATATGCTTTATCTTTTGTTATTAAATAATTATTATATTCTTTAAATATAAATAAATTCATATTATAATATTTAAATTTATATAATATATAAAAATAATGTATTATATTCTATTTATATAAATATTTTTAATTTTTGTAAATAATGAAATGAATTAAAAATAAAATTTTAAAAAAGTTTATATATTTTTTTAAAAATAATACAAATATATTTCTTTTAATAAAATTAAATATATTATATTAAAAACTAATAAAATAATAAATGAATATATTATATAAATTATTAAAACAAAATAGACAATAAATCCTTTTAAAAATACAAAAAACATAATTTTCATAATAATCAAAATCATCCAAAATATGGATGAGAGAACATGTAACAGATGAATTTGTAAAAAAGGCTCTTAAAGTAAACGAATATTTCTTCCTTAAAAAATTTTTAATAAGAACATAAAAAAAAGGAAAATTATAGAAGTAGATCAGCTTTTAAACTAATTGAAATTTAAGAAAAATATTAAATATTAAAAAATAATTTCAAAGTATTAGAATTAGGATCATCACCAGGCGGTTGGACTTAAGTAATAGTAAAAGAAACAAAAAGTAAAGATGAAAATCCATCAGTATTAGCCATAGATTAAATTTTAATGCATTAAGTTGAAGGAGCAACTTTTTATAAAGGGGATATGTAAGATTTATAAGTATAATAATATATAGATTTTTTTTTTAAAAAAAATCATGTAGATGTGGTAAAATAAAATAAAATATTTTTTTATTTAAAAATAAAAATAAAGGTATTATCGGATACTGCCCCTAATTTTAGCGGAGATTTAGAAAATGATCATTTGAAAACTATGGAATTAGATTATTTAGTTATATAAATGGCTTCTAAGTTTTTGAAAAACGGAGGTTTTTTATTAATGAAAGGGTTTTATGGCTCTATGGAAAAATAATACTATGATATGTTTAAGATATTTTTTAAGGATTTTTAAAGGATTAAACCAAAAGCTTCTAGATCAAGGTCTAGTGAATTGTATTATTTAGGTAAAGGATTTGGATAATCAGATAATTTAATAAATTTAAATGATAACAAAATTAAGTAAATAATTAAAGATTAAGAAATATATGATAAATATATATAAGTTATATAATAAATAAAGAAAAGATAAAAAAATAAGAATAAATTTTTAAAAATAAAGAAAAAATTGAATTAAATAAAAAATATTTTTGTATATTATTTTATTTATACATATTTTTTTTATATTTTGAATTTAAAAATAATATTAATTTATTTATAAAATCTAAAATACAATAAATTAGCAAACTTTTTATTAAAAAAAATATATTATTATATATTTTTAATAATATTTTAAATATGATCAGATTATCGACGTAAAGAAAGTTTTCATAAACCATAAATAGGTTCAATAAGTAAATATATTTATCATCAAAAATTATATATTATACTATTTATAAAAATAAAATAATTTATTTTAATAATAAAGAAATATATTTTTTTTATGGGTTAAATGTTTATTTAAAAAAAAAAAAAATAAGAAAAAAAAAAAATATAAATAGATATATATAATTATATAATTATATAATTATATAATTATATAATTATATAATTATTTATATATATATATATATTTTTTTTATTTAATAAATATCATTTTACATTAATAATGCAATTGAATTATTATACATACGCCTTTTTAAATTTAATATATAGTTTTTATATATTTTAAGATCATTATTAAATTATTATTTTATAAAGTAGATACCTTATTTAATTACAATGATTACAGCTGATTTTAATTTTTAAAAATGTTCTATTAAATATAATTATTCAAATTTATTTTATTTTTAGTTTATCATAGTACTTAAAATAAAATAAAATGTTTATTCATTTAGAATCAAAAATTTTTAAATTAAATTTAATAGAAATATATATCAATTTTTTTTATTTATTTAATTTTTATTAAATAAATTAATGACTTTTTTTTATTTTTTAAATGAAAATAACAAAAATAAAAAGTATTTCTTAAATATACATTTTATTATAATTATCATTTTAAAATAATTTTTAATAAAAAATAATAAATAAAAAATTATAAATAAAAAATTATAATATAAATAATAAATAAATATTAAAAAATATAAAACTTATTAAAAATATATATATTTCGTAAAAAAATTTATAAATAAAATTTCTTATTATTAATTTTATAAATTTAAAAATAATAAAAAAAGTTTTTTATTTATTATAAAATTAAACGATATTAGATAATAAATGCAAAACAATATATTAAAAATATTTTTTTATATATTATACTGTTATTATTATTATTGATCATATTATTTTAAAATAATTATATTATTATAATTTTAATAGATTAAATAATTTTGTTATTAATATATAAAATTAAAAAAATATTTATATTTATATTTATATTTATATTTATATTTATATTTATATTTATATTTATATTTATATAATAATCTTTTATTAATTTATTTAGTATATTTTATATTTAAATTATTATTATATATTTTAGTTAATAACATAACAAAATAATAATATAATTATATTTATTATTTTTTATGATATAAGTAATGTGTTTTTAATTTATTTAGATCAATTTATTATGATAATGTTAATTTAATTTTAATAAAAAAAATCAAAATTATTTTTAAATTTTTAAATAATTTTTATTTTAATATAATTTTAAATAAATATACATATATAAATTAATAATATTTATTTTAAAACTATTATATTAAAATACTATTCAATTTTTTAATCAAAAATTATAATCAAATTATTTAAATTTTTATATTAAGAATATTATTTTTATTATTATTATTATTATTATTATTATTATTATTATTATTATTATTATTATTACTACTATTATTATTATATATATAGTCTTTTTTTAATTTTTTTTTATATTTTCTTCTTGTCTATTTTTTTAATTATATAAATTAATTTTTTTTCCAGTTCTTTTATTGCTTTTGATTTAATTTTATTAACTTTTTAATTTATATTTTTAGTTTTTTTATTTTTATTTTTAATTTATTTGACATATATCTTTAATTTATTAATCTTCATCATCATCAATTATTATTTATTCAAAATTTTTTCTTTATTAATATTATTATCTTATAAATTTCTATTTTTTAATA